AGGTGTGACCTCATACGTCTTGTCATCCTTTTTTATTTCTCCGATGGAGAGCAGCTTACTTGTGATGAGTGGATTCTTTGTGGTTATTGAAATCGTGTTGGATTTCTCGCTCATATGTACCGAGAAGCCATCTTTGTTGCGCACGCCGGTCTTCTCAATAGCGGCACAGATGTCTCTCCCGGTAAACCTATATACTTCGGCCTTACAGGTTGGCTTGAGCACAACTGTCTGCGTGGGTGCAGTGCGTGATGTAGTATTCTGCGCATTGTCTGAGCTGCGGTGCTTGCGCCTACGAGAGGGCTGCCATTCACCGTCGTTGCCTTTGTCTTCATCCATTGGTGTCATATTGTTTCCAACGTCGTCGTCTTTCTCGGGAGGATTTGCCGCTGCTTCGCCTTCGGAAGACGTGCTCGATTTGCTTTGAAGAACTGATTGAATTTCTTGCTTGTGAGCCATGTACTCTTTTAGCTCTTGCTTGAGAGACATGAATTCTGCTACCTCTTCTTGGTTCTGCAAAAACGCGTTGAAGGTTTCTCGCAATTGCTGAAATTCAAGGTACATCTTCCACTCTGCTGGGTCCACGCTCAGTGGTGATTGCGCTGAGCTTTGCATCGCTGCGATGTTTTCAGTTGAGGGTGCCGGGTATGGATTCCTGGCTGCCTGGTTCATTACCTGCGTCTTTGTGAGGACGCGGATCTTGCCATTGAATGCCCTTCTCGGGGTGCAGTTCGGGTTCAGGGAGGCCTGGTCCTCAGCGTCCGCTGGTGAAGCGGGATACCCGGCTACGGCGTCGTCCAGGATTGACGATGGGGTCCGGGGTGGAACCCCGTGGGGTTCGGATTTCAGCCGAACGAATGCTGGCTGGGGTAGGAAGTTAGGCCTAGTGGAGCGCTTTTCTACCTGCGACCTGCGTCGGCCATCGCGCTGCGCGATCCGGCAAGCCAGAGGAAAGGCTGGAAAGGTTGCGCCATCTATGAGCGACGGCGGCAACCAGACAACTGAGAAGGCGATTGTCTAGTTGCCGCCGTCACTCATAGATGGCGGTAGCTGTCGGGGGTTTCGTGCCATCGTTTGTTTGCTGACGGACACAATAGTGGGGAAAACAGCCCTTAACAGCTCCGCTGTAAAAAAGCGGCTAATCCAAGCCACTTCGCCACGAACCACTTCCTCGTAGCGCTCCAGAGGGCGCTACGAGCGAAGTGGTTCGGATTAGCCGTTATTTATGAGAAACGCGTTGCGTTCCAACGCCACGCTCGGCCGGCACACTTGTCAAGGCCACAAAAACAATAGAATGCCGGGCTATATTCTTTACACAATCTAGACGTCAGGCGCCACGTCAATACATAACTTGAGCGGGACCTGACTTGTCGTCACAACGCCAAACGGCATCACGAGGACGTCTTGACGTCAACGTCATCATCAACGCTGACAACGCGCGTTACACGACATAAAGACTGCCTTCTGACGTCATATTGCGTTGACAACGACGTCGATGTCAAAGTTGACGTTGACGACGACAACGACGACGTCACGTGAGGTCAAGATGACGGCGTCCCGGTCAATGCGACATCATAAAGTCGCTTGGTGTAAGGTCGTCGACGTCGTTGTCGACATAAATCAACTCGACGTCGCGACGACGTCCCAACGACTTCAGGACGTCGACATCAACATCATCGTCGACGACGACGACATTACACGTCGTCCAGACTTCGTCGCGACGGCGCGTCGAAGTTGATGATGGCGAAGGCGAAGACGTTACACGTCGTCAAGTGTTCGTCGTGACGTCGTTGTGACGTTGACGTTGACGACGACGTCAGGACAACGTTCAACGTCGGCATTGACGACCACGTCGACGTCGTTCTCGACGCGGCGGGACTTCGTGACCGGGTTACAACCGCGACTTGATGTTGTGTAACCGCTTCGTGCTCAACGCGACGTCACTACCGCGTTACAAAGGCGACTTGACGTCGCCAAACGGCGTCGTCCACGACGCAACGCGATGTCACGACGGCCTTTCGACAGTATCTTGGCGTCGCGTAACGTCGTAGTCGACGAGAACTTTGTGGCGTCGTCGTAACGTCACGGCGTCGTCATGACGTGTTCTTTTGACGTTACCTCTCACGTCAATATCATAAAAGAATACATTATGTCCTCGACCTATGTCGTCGCTCGCTTCGATCGCAGCGAAGGTGGCGCTGCGATCAAAGTGGCTTGCTTCCACCTGATCGCTTTCCACATTTTGAGGGGCAACTGAAAGCATGAGCGGAGCCCTGTAGCTCGCCCCACTCAGCCGTTTTTAGTTCGCTCTACTAACGCAGCGCTAGCATCATAGCGTATTGAGCACGACGCAATGAAGACAGGTTGCAGTGGTGGGCGTGTGAAGCTCCTCAGTGCACTTCTTCTTTCCCCTTTCCTGGCGTGCAGGGCGACACTGCCACGCACTTATCGAAGGCCCTCCGGCCCTCTATAACCCACCACAGCTTCGCATGCTGAATCCCCGAGTCACTTTCGCAAGCGCAATTGTAACACCTCCTCGTTCTGGCCCATGGACCATGCTCTGGCGCATTTGATGCTATTTGCAAAGCAAACACAAACATATCGAATGTTTTTAGGGCTACTTTTCCCAACCACTCTTCGTCTTCCAGTGATGTTTTGGCATCCTTGAAGAGCATTGAGAATGGACAAACGTGCATTTTGTTTCTTTACTGGAGAAAACAGTATTTGCGTATGTTACTAGGCTCGTAGCGACTTTGTGAACTTCACAAAAGTCTAACTGCTTCGGCTAAAAAAACAATAACGCTGTAACTGACCTTTATTTTCGTCCACGTAACTGAGAAATATTCTACGATATTCATCACATTAGACGTCTTTGTAATATCTTTTACTTTTTAGAGCGTAGAGAGATTGGGCACCCACTTCTTCCCATAGAAAGGCATCCCCAAAACCCTATAGACGTTTTTTTTTTTTTGTTTCCTTTTGTTCTCAGTTCCGTATCTGGTATATGGAACATACCAGATACGGGATATGCGAAACCTGGAATAGGCGAAAACAATATACGTGAGGCAAAACAAGAATGTGTGACAGTCACGCATTTTTTGTGAACACATGCCAGCGACTTGGAGAGATGCAATCGATGTTTTAACTAGGGGTGTCGCGAACTTTTGTCGAACCGGATTTGTAGGTCGAACTTTCGAGGTTCGACAAATTTTCGAACTTTTAATCAGATTTGACCGGTTCGACTTTGTGGACAGTGTGACCAGACCTTGATACAAGCATGTCTAGGTTTGAAGAATGTTTTCTTATTCAAAAGGGTTATTTTAATTTTATGAACAGTTCAATTAAAATAAACTAATTCTAATCAGTAAAGCAGTTAATAACTTATTTTTTGTACTGTATTAACTGAAATAACCAATCAGTGCTGCCCTTAAATCATCCCTTAGCCATCACTATCCAATCCGAAGCAAACTGGCCAGCCTGTCGCGCATGCGCATAGCAGTCGAACCAGAGTCAAACCATTGTCGACTTTTTCCCAAGAAGTTCGTAAAAGTTGAACCTAGTCGAACTCGAACCTTGACCGGTCCGGGATCTCTGTAGTTTTAACGCATACCAGAAGTGACACGATTCAAGATGGCTGCGCCCTTGTGGAAAAGGTGTATAGACGGGATGCTGTGTGCTTTATTTCGCAATGGTGCACTAGTGCCAGCTGAACCTCTAGCGTACATTATAATAACTTCATACTGTCTCGTCAGCGTAGCCAATACCACCTAGAACACAAGGCCCGCACCTCTTCCCCCCATAACGTCGTCACCATGTGGAGCGCAAGTTCGTCTGCTTCCTCTGCAGGGGTTGTAGTGACGCCAGAACGCCGATCACTGATTGGTTCTGAGTGAAGGATAATGGGTAGACCTCAAGGTAGCTTGCTTCGAGGTCTGCCCACTATCCTTCAATCAGAGCCAATCAGAGCTCGGCGTCGTTCTGACGTCACCGCAACTCCTGCGCAAGAAACAGACGACTTGCTCTCCGCATATTGAATCCACGCAGTGCCGCTTAGGCTGCGTCAGCGTCGCCGCCAACGCGTCTTGCAGCGCTTCACGACGAGCGCGACGCCAGCACGCGGCGACGCCAAGACGGACGCCTCTATCGCTTTGCGGCGACTATCGTCGAGCTCCCGCGTGTTTCCCGTTTGGGGCAGGTCGGGGATACCACAAACTATGACGTCATGCGCCGACCATATCTATAGCAGGCGACACATGAGTGATGAAAGCGATGAAAGCGGGTGCCGCGCGGCAGTATCATAGCAACCGGTGCTGGCCTCCCTACGTCACTTCCGCAAGGCGCGGCGTCGCTCGGATCTGGTCGATACTAGGGGTGTCGCGAACCGGCCGCGGGTCGAGTTCGACCAGGTTCGACTTATTCGAACGTTTAGTGGAAAGTTCGTCGAACCTTGTATTGAGGTTCGACTCGTGTTCGCATGCGCGACAGGCTGGCCAGTTGGCTTCGGATTGGATGGTAATGGCTAAGAGATGAATTAAGTGCAGCGCTGATCCGCTATTTTAGTCAATACAGTATTAAAATTTAAGTTATTAACTTCTTCAGTGAATAGAATTAGTTCCTTTCAATTGCAGCTGTTCACAAAATAAAATAACCCTTTGCATAAAAAAATTCTCCAAATCTAGACATGCTTGCATTAAGGTCTGGCCACACTGTCCACAAAGTCGAACCGGTCGAATCTGGTAAAAAGTTTCGAAGGTTTTGTCGAACCGGTTCGACCCAGTCGAACCGCCAAAGTTCGACCGAAAAATCTGGTTCGACAAAACTTCGCGACACCCCTAGTCGATACAGGTATAGCCGCGAGGTGTGCCTGTGGCGCGCCTAGCGGCGAGCTGAGAACTTCACGCGGCGCCCAGTTTCACCGCTCGTGTGGTCCATGCGTTATAGGTGGTACTGAATCGAACGTCTCTTCCTTCTCAACTTCCGTCGGGTCGCTTAGCGACTATCGGAACAGATATGGGTTGCCCCACCGTTTCCTTATCAGGGTACGTGTAGTTCCAAACGCCGTTCGCTCTCGCTCTAACGCGGTGAAACATTATTTTGAATTTGAGCGAATGTATGAGGGAACCTGCGAGGGCCTGAATTGCGGAACGCTTGAATCAGCTGGGTTTTGACGGCCACTTCCACATACGGTAAGACCTATCTTCCTAAGAGCCCAAGTGCAAAGTTTCCGATTTGAGGCGGAGCGAGCGGCTCAAGCATCTTGTTGTTCTGTCTGTTGGCGTACGTTGCACAGGAAAACTGTAAGTTGAATAATTTTTTTTTTTTTTTTTTTGCGTTTGAATTTTGGCTGAGGTGCCCGCAGTTTGACGAAGGCTTATTGCGGAGAAGGCGCCATGGTAACCGAGCTTTCGGCTGCACGTCAAAAGATCCCCAGGTGGTCTAAATCAATCCTCAGTCCTCCGCTGCGGCGTGCCAGATGCCCGTCGTTGGTGTGGCACGCAAAAAAACCCCAAATTCAACTTCTTTTGGCGAAATGGTTTTGAGACTGAAATATGATTGTATACATTCTCCTCTCTTCTGATAGAGTACTTTTAAAAGCGGTTGCAAAAATAGACGCTTAACGGCGTGCGCTTGACTCGAGCCTCCCCTATTGGGTGTATCTATATTCTTTTTTTTTTCGTTTCACCGAGATGCCAATTCATTGGGACAGGAAATGGCCAATTCATTGGGACAGGAAGTGCTGCTAGTGTCACATCAATGAAAAATAGTTTGTTTACCACTTCTCTCCTTGCGACGTAAAATTTCACGCCTATGTCTATTTCATAAAATGTATTTTCATAACCCTCTCCTACGCAATCGGATGGTTACTCCCCCCCCTTTTACATTTCATCCCGTCTTGACCATCAGATTAAAGTTGGAGTTCCAAGTTCGTTTACCACAACATTTCAATCTTCTTTTTTACCCCGCTCAGCCGAGGAATGGAACCACCTCCCCGGCTTGATTGCTACTATAACTGGTACTAACCTGTTTAGAAATTTTATTACTAGCTATTTTAGCAGTGACCCATCACCTATTATTATTATTTTTCTTTGTTTGTTGTATATTCAATATTGTTGACTTGTTACTATATTACTATCTTTGTTTCATGTATGTGCTCTCCCCCTCTGTAATGCCTTCGGGCCCTGAGGGTACTTTCAATAAATAAATAAATTAATAAATTCTACGGCAAAGTTGCTCCAACTTTCGTGGCGCCGAAGAAACAACAGGGACGTCAAACCGCCCAGCTACCTTTTTCAAATTGGGGATGTCGTGTGCCCATGGACTTCCAACAATAAAGTTTCTTTATGCAAGTACAAGATGCGCCGCGCTGTGGCAATTTATCAAGCACCCCATTAGTGCAAAATAATGTCGAGGATGGCCCTAGCAGGAATGAAATGAACGACTGAAGGGCCTGGTGCTCCCAGAAGTAAGGCTAGAAGCTCCATGTTATTGGTGGCGCCGTGGCGTGGTGTCCTTGTTACCGCCCCAAAGAGTACAAATAATTGCGGGAACTTTTGGTCAGTAAACATGGCGGCACCGTCAAGTTATTTATCTGTAGTGAAAATTTGGCGAACACGATCACACACACACAAACACAAAAAAGCTGCTTTCTAATAGTGCCCATTGGCAGGCATTCATTTTGCTGCCGGTTAGCTGAGCCTATACCACTGTATGATCTTTTTGTCTTTATTGCTCGTTGTGTTTGTATATGGTGTTTTTTATTTCTTTAATATGCTTTAAAGATGTGCAAATAACGGCTCGAATCGAATAGCACGGTGTCATTCCTGGCGTTACCACTGTTAAGGGAACAGGTTGTAGTGGCTTTTCCTTCTATTGTGAAGCCTATAAATGATGCAGCGCTATTCTATTCGAACCGGTATTCGGACATCTCTGATATTTATGCACGCGACACACTTAATGACAATTTAGGTTTCTTCTGCTGTCACCTCCCACGCAATAAACAAACACGTATAAAGTAACTGCGTTGCATATATGTTTAAACAAAGAGATGAGACTGGCATCTCATTTGTCTCCGCCGTCGATGAGAAATACTGTCAGTGCTTGCCCGGGGTTTTAACATGCAACACATGATACACGACTGCTCGCCTACACTGTGTTTATCCAGTTCAAGATGGGCAGCGTTGGGGATTAAACCCGGGACCCCCGGGTTCTGCAGCGTGAGCTAAACCTGCTAAGTGCTACGGTGTCTCAGTCGGAAACCGATCTCTTAATGGAGCCATTAAACAATTTTTCTGCTTTCGCTAAACACTACTTAGAATCGCTCCCTAACGTTAGCAACTCAATACACTTGCCTTAGTTTTTCTTTCTAGGCAATGGCATCCGGCAAATAAATTCGAGAATTATGAGCATTGCTCATCCTCTGCACTCGGAATCAGAAAAGCGGCCACGTGGCCTGGTGCCTATCCTATGCTGGGGGGAGTGGGGGTGGAGGGGAGGGGAGGGGAGGGGGTGGGGAGAGAGAGACCGCAATGTTGGCCGCGCATAGTACAGCTCTCCAGATACGACTTCCGCAATTTATTTTACCGGACGCAGACTATTTCTCCTTCAACAAACCTCCTCTCCTGTTTTCGAGATACCACCGAATACCGTAACAAACCTATTCCGACTGGATGTAAACACCCACAGCCCGACATCAAGGGTGTATTGAATGCTTTACACAGGTTTTTGAAAAAAAGCAGTATCATCAAGTGACAGGGGCGGATCCAGAACTCCGTTTTGGGGGGGGGGGGGGGGGGGGGGGGGATTTGTAAGGATACTATTCTCCCATTATTTCTTCTGCACCGGGGGTCCACCCATGTCAAATTGCCCTCCGAGTATGGGGGAGGAAGGAGTCGGCTTTCTTTGGGTGCAGGGACGGGGGGGGGTAGCCTCCTTCCCCCCCTTCGACCCGCCCTTGTCAAAAGAGCTCTATATGGCATACATTATACATTTCTCATTCGTTTCTTTTTTTAGGCTTAACGAAAAACACAAGACCACCATGCCGAGAAAAGTCCCGTACCGGGACTTTCCCGGTGGTCCAATCGGAATAGAGTTCTCTGATGAGCTGCCGCACTGGAACTTGTGCGGAATCTGCGGAATGTTGTCAGCGTTTATGAGCAGGGATGAACTGGGACACATCTTCTGCAAAGTCTGCGTGGACGCCCACCATCAGAACAAGCGCATCTTCTGCAAGCATGAAAATCGTTTCGTTGAACTGGCGGACGTAAGTTTCTGGTGCAGTATAAGTACATGCAAGCAAAAGAGACGCATACCTGTGTATGAACGGTTGTGATCGGCCATGCACATCACGTACGCAGTTTTATATGCTGCGACAGTCACCGAAGCAGTCGCGGCCAAATTTACGTCAAAGTCGGGTGTTGAGAACCCATGGCTATACATGGCTTACACTGGCGTCACATCGTATACCTTTAACCTCCATGTAAGAGGAGGAGAGGGAAGCTGGTTTTTGTAACAATATTGGGGGCGGTTTAATCCGGGAGGCAATCAAGAGGATCATGGTAAGAGGGGAGCTCCTTCTTTCCCTCTTCTCTTGTGGTCATAGAAGCGGTCTTTAAATTGTGTCACGTGCAATGATAAAAGCGTAACAGAAGTAGGGCTGCACTAAATCTTCTTTTTTTCAACAGCTATACGCAGCCGTTGAGGTTATCCAGTTTACGCACGACCTGACTGTGTTTTGCCCGTACAAAAAACTCGGATGCACCGAATACCGTCCTCTGCGTTTCATGAAGGTATGTATTCATTGATAAAAGTTGTTCGCTCTCGTTCACCAGTTGATTTATGGGTAACTCAACCGGTTAGCAGAATTACTCTCCCGCAAAGAGTAATTGTAGTCAGGCAAGGTAAACCTAGACTTATTATATATCTTTTACTTTTCGTGATTCTCTGCAGAAACACCTCGTGGAGTGTCCCATGACTACTGTCACGAGATGCAAAGCATGCGACGCGCTGTTGCCGATCAAAGACCACCCGGACCACAAGGCACTCTGCCCTGAGGCACACGTCCTGTGCAATACATGTGTTCGAGGAATGCCTAGAAGGAAGTACAAGGCGAGTCGGCATTTTTGCAGGACCTCGAGGGCTTCACGCACTGAGCTAATCCACCCCCTTGGTCGTATTAAATATTTTTGAACTCGAGCTACCTCTGGCAACTTCGCAGGATGGAAGATGTGAATATTATGAGGTGGTACGTGCAAATGAGTTTTTAAGGAGGTGAAAGTCGAAAAAAAAGCAACAGACTAATATATCAGTCAAGAAGAATGCAAACGACTATAAAAACGATATCAAAAATATGCATATAGACGGAAAGTCATAATGCAGTATGTATTGTTTTACACTACCTTTACGAGGGAAACAGTGCAGGGGGTAGGGTACATAATATAAAAAGAACACTTGTATCGTCACTCCTATTGTGCAGGAAAATATAAATACATAAAATAAAGATGAAGTTCGATTATATTAAACAAATATCGCAGCATCTTCGGCTGTTTGACATAGAATAGAAAGTCTTCCCTTTCTATTCTAAGTAATACAGTTTCCCTTTATTTTTTGTACCTCTTCTTTTTCATTTCTCTTTGTTCATCTTTCACATACACGAGCTCATTCTACCCTTCAGCAATATTCGTACAGAGGTATACACTGATCCCAAAACTTCATAACTACGCCACGACTAGGAGAGTCGAATCGCTTTAGCCAATTTTTATCATATTTCTGCGCCTAGCGGTTGAACTGCGTGGCAAACTTTGAACTTCTCGATAATGCCCAGACCGGGGATGACAATCCACGTGCTCCTGCGACCAATTTAGACTGCAATATCTTCGTGCGGCATGTACTGCGCGTGGCATGTGCCGAGTGTTTGTTTCCATTGATATAGTTTGACAAAGGTAAAAGCAATGTTAATGAGTTTTTTTCCTGCGAGGAGCTGGAAGGTTGTCTATCAAAGTGGATTGAATGTTTGTTAGAATCTTTATTTTCGGTATACAATTTTCATCCAATATCTATACACTAAGTTCTATAGAAGGCCTAAAACAATTTGTGGCCAAAAATAAACAGTGGTTGCACAAGTGGATACATTTTCCATGCGATATTCCTTTATAGACAATCACGCGGCCCCGACGTCATGCAGCTCCGGTGGCGCTGTCGGCGGCACCGCCCATGCGCGGACGCTTCACTTCGCGCGAATTCGGTCTCTGCGCACGCGCAGTTTCCACACCTGGTGTCGGCAAACGCGGGCTTGTTTGTAAACAGCGTGTCGGTCTATACAGTATTTCCTATAGAAATGCGGTAACATATTGATAAGTACTGTTCCATGCTGCTCATCAACGCGGATAAATGATATTACATTATGTAATTTTTCTATCGCTTCTCCAAAGTAGGGTAAAGCTCCGGAAACTTGCTTACGCCGACACACCGTTGTGGGTTTTGAACGGATTGGATACAATTAGGGTAAAACATTTTGATCGCCATGGCGCTGCGCAGTCTGCTTTGTGGCCGTCATTTTTGTCGAGATTGGCGACCTTTATAGGTCCCTAATGGCGCGAACAGTGTTTCCGCCGCAGCAGGATTCTCTCCTGGGTGGCGAGGTCCCTTCCATTGGCGGGCGTAAGTGATCACGTGATCGTAGCGACGACCAATACTGATCTTGTCGGAAAACGCGGTGTATGTCAAAGTATACATAATCAATTCTTTTACAACGTTCCCAACAACACATAACACCGAGATTTGCCAACCCGAAAACGCATTACCCGCATGACGATATTGTCAAGTACGACCTAAATACTACTTTTTTTTTTGCAAGCACGAGTTTGTTTAATTAAACATTTATTCTCCCTGTTTACTACTTTATTTTTTATTTGTACTAACACATAATAAGTACTAAAAACATCCTGGTCTACTTCGTAGGACCATCGAAATCAATGCCAACGTCGCCCAGAGCCTTCACACCAAGAAGAAAATGTGAGTGGTTATTGATTTACCAATTAAGGCTTTCCAATACATTTCAGAGGAATGCATGTTTTATAACATTTGATTCGTTTGAAGAAAATTGGTAAGAGCATGAGTTCTAGAAAAATACTTTTCACATTTTGTAGTCTAGGATCGGAATCTAACCCTCGTTGTATTGTAGCAACTAGAATGTGCAGGGTCCGAAAAATAAAACTCCCTTTTCAGCCAACATCAATAAACGTCGCATTGCAGGAAGTTGAAAGTCGCCCTGGACATGAAGCTTGCACGGGACAGCGCACGCCAGTTCATGTACGTGATGTTACTTGGTGCAGAAATAAGATAAGTATCAAATTTCCCAACCAGCCAACGTTGTACTTCAACCTAATATTCGTCACAAAAAAAAAAGTAATTGCGAGCCTTTTTGAACTTGTATCAATAGAAATACTGTTTAAAGAAAAATATGTTTGTACTGCTGACGTGTTAGTAAAACAAATGTACACGGTGCTTCTTTTTTTCGGAATTTTATTTGCTTAGAAAAAAAGCCGTGAAAGCTAGCTACACTAACAAGTGGTTTGTGCATGTGGGTTATACGCCCAAGGAGACATAATATAGAGGGCTACTTGTCAGCATAAGTCGAATAATGAACTAAAATGTATTCATTAACATTTAATTTAGTAGAATAAACTTATGGTTACAATTATAAACGTTCTGACCGTCACCGAAAACTAGAAAGTCGGTAAAGTTTGGAAATAATTAAGAAACGCGCAGAGCCCGGTCGTGCGCTAGAAATACCACTCCTGCAACAGGCGCAAGCTCGAAGCTGTGAAAACATGCTCGCACGGGTTTTCTGACCTTTATCATCCGTTGCACGAGGAGCAAGTTAAGCGCACTACCGCGCTTGCATCGAGCTCCCTCTTTTTAAAATTAAATGATTTGGTGGTTTTCAATTGCTCTGAGCAAATATCTAAATGGAACCATATGCATTTGTTTACTAATTAAACCGTTCATAAAAAAAAAAAAAACTATCGATGAATTATTAGGCTATTCATGGTGATGTATACCCTATATTATTCCTTCCTGTCCGTATAACTTCCTAGTAGAGACCGCATTAATGTAGCTTTCACGGCGTAGTTTTTAAAGCCAACATGTTAAGGGTAAAAAAGCATGGTGTATACCTACCCCACTAAGTCTGGATTTGTGAGCAGTTAGAACAACCTGGAGGAAACATAACTAACTAAAAAGAGTGTGATTCCAATTATAATATTCTGTAACTTCGCTTATTTCAGTGTAGAGGCGATCAGACTGGCCGGGCGATCGAAGACAATACGGCGATACAGCAGGCTTTTTTGCAGGTTGGTTTATAATTCCTTAGATGCAGGCTTGGATCACAAAAAAGAAGAAATGAAAAACAGCAGTTCGCAGGAAGTGCGCAAGTCTCGCCGATTCTAAGCAGTGTAAACGTTAATTATTTTTTGCTTGATTCGGGCATGATCACACAATTTTTAACATACATCACTAGGATATCTCCCAAAGGAGGGCTTCATTTGTTGTTCTATTTACTTACTTCATTAAGAAATAAGGTGTGATTACATTTTAGTACGAAATAAGCTACAATTTTCTAGAAAAGGCTATTTTTAGATAATGGCTAATATCATAAAAACTAGTATACTTATCTTTGTGTACTTGTTCTCTATTTCAGGAGGCATGGGAAGAGATCTTGAACCTCCAAGAAAGAATAGCAGAAATGGAGCAGCGTAAAGTAAGAACATATATATGTATATACTGGCAGAAATGCGCACTAATACCCCATATTTAGACAGCTTTGCGTGGTAAGCAAAACCCCGTAGGACAGCCTGACGTAGCAGCGACCTAGATATATGTCATGTAATAGACTCTCTAATGAACTGGAGAGCCCTTAATGCCCAAAACACTGCAACCACACATCAGGGCCGTGTTAAAAAAAGTTACTCCACCTACCTAACTCTAGGGTAAAGCTTGCGTACCTGGTGTCTGAAATCATTTGCGCGCGTTCAGCACTGCTCTGTGTGGTCACGTGGCATGACCCGTCTCAGTAACTCATAACCATTCGAGTAAGATTTGGAATACAGCAAGTCTGTAAAAAAATTATATTTTTTTATTTCTTCTATAAATTTTGTTTCGAGGCAATACGTAAGAAAGATCGTGCACGAAATTATCTACCGTTTAAAAATGTTATAGTAATTCAGTTCATATAAATAAATGGAGCTATATTGTTGTACAGATGCCATAAACGTCACTCAATAATTCATTGCAAAACCTTATATTTACCCTCAGGGCCAGAGGCGTTACAGAGGAGAGTGGGTATTTAAAAAGTACAACATAACATACAGCGTACAACAGAAAATATTATACAGTAGTGATGGCTCTTTACAAACAAATATTGGAAACGGCAGTTTTAAAACACTCGATATCGGGGATTTCGGCAATGGCTCCGGGAAGGTGATTCCACATTGTTGAGGCACTAGGAATAAAAGACTCATAAAAATGTTTAGTACGACAAGAAGGAATGGCAACTTTATGACGGTGATCGATGCGTGCTGAAACGAAATGAGGTGTTGTTAGTAGACTTTCTTTTAGAATCGGATTATTATGATATATCTTATGAAACAAGCACAGACGGAACATTTTTCTACGTTGTGAAAGAAGAGGCAATGATAGGCTAGACTTCATTGCGGTCACACTGGATGTACGATGATAATTTGAAAGAATGAAACGAGATGCGCGGTTCTGAATCGCTTCTAATTCGGAGATAAGTGATTCTTGACCAGGATCCCAAACCGAAGCTGCATATTCCAATTTAGTACGAACTAATGTTTTATATAAAAGTAATTTTAATGAGCTGGGAGCAACACAAAAATTTCTTCGGAGATATCCAAGCATGCGGTTGGCGTTATTTACAATATATTCAACATGACACGACCAGGACAGATTAGCAGATATGTGCACACCCAGATATTTATACGATGATACGGTTTCGAAAGAGAGATTATTTAGACGATAAGAAGCACAAGGAGTATCAAGACGGGAAACACGCATAGATTTACACTTATTAATGTTTAGTTTCATGTTCCACAAATCACACCACTCAGAAACACTGTTAATATCTGACTGAAGAAGTGAGATGTCAGAATCACTGTTAATTTCGCGATAAATGACGCAGTCATCGGCAAAGAGACTGACGGATGAACATATATTAGTGGGCAGGTCGTTAATATAAATGAGAAAAAGTAAGGGCCCTAGAACCGAGCCTTGGGGCACACCTGAGCCAACTGGAGATAAATCAGAATTGATATTATTAGCCGTCACAAATTGGGACCGGTTAGTGAGGAAGGAGCGCAACCATGCAAGAGCGTTAATGTCTAAAGTTTAGTTCAGTCAGCTTGAGAAAGAGAAGTTCGTGAGATACTTTATCGAATGCCTTTGAGAAATCGAGGAATATGCAGTCAGCCAGAGATCCACGATCAAGAATGGAATGTAAATCATGTGTGAAACACAAAAGCTGAGTTTCGCATGAAAATGACTTACGAAACCCGTGCTGGGATGAATTGAAAAAAGAATTGGACTCTAAGTAGTTTGCAAGATGGGAGTAAATGATATGTTCCATGATTTTACAGGGAATGCTGGTAAGTGACACGAGTCGAAAGTTATTTGGACAATGCTTTTCACCTGATTTGTGCAAAGGAATCACCTTCCCGATCTTCCAATCCTCTGGTATACTACCTGTATCAAGAGACTGCTGAAACAGTTTACTCAGGATTATAGAGCTATACATCTTAGTATTAAGCAAAAATTTAGAGTTGATATTATTGATACCAGAGGATGACGACATCTTCAGTTTTTCTATTCTCGCAATACCAACTGTGTCAATAAGAACTGGGTCCATTGGAAAAAACTCGTAAGTGTGACAGGCAGGGTAAGTAGCATTTAGATTACTAGAAAACTCTGCAACAAACACCGCGTTGAGAATGCTAGCGCATTGACCGCTAGGAACTACTGTACCATCAGTACATCTAAGTGTTATAACAGGCTTGTCAGTCTTGTTTAGAACATTCCAGAATTGTTTAGGGTTATGTATGAGCATGGAAGGTAAAGTTTGACTAAAAAATGAGTATTTCGCTTCTTTTAGTGCTACTTTGTAATTAGTAGCTGCACATCGGTACGTGTCCCAACGAGACTGGTAATTGGATGATTTCGCGGAACGAAACAAGCGTTTTTTCTTGTTGGACAACCTTTTCAGTGACTGGTTAAACCACGGTGATTTCCGGTTCGATCTGATGGTTCTCAATGGTATGAACTTATTTGTGAGTGAAGCCACTTCGTTTATAAATAAATTCCAGTTCATATTTATAGATCTCTCATCAAACCCTTGTAGGAACTTATCCAGAAACAGACATAGCTCTCGATTAATAGCAACAAAGTCCGCCTTCTTATAATCTCTAATACATTTATAGGGGTTATCTTGATTAGGAACAGGAATGTTCAATGTGAAGTGAAGCAAAGAATGATCGCTTAAACCTGTTAAGTAAGTTGTAGGACTGACAAGGTCTGGGGAGGTGGTCAATACAAGATTCAAGACACTTGATGATGTGGGCGTAACTCGGGTTGGCTGAGTTTAAACCCTTTTGTTTCAGCGTGAAGACGACCAGTCTCGCTCGTGCTTGGAAGTGTGCATTGCAGACCAGGATAAATTGCTGCAGGTACGCGGAGAAAATTTACGAGAACTTATTTCTAAAGATGCCGGTTTTTGAACTTTTTTCTCGGCGGTTTCTTCAGGGTTGTTTCTTGAAGTTGGCTTGAGAGTGAAGTTTGACGTTCAATGGATCTTAACGTTTTCTATGTTTTATTTTTAAAATGTTTGAACCAAAATAAGTATCATTCATTCGCAAAGGCATAAAAGCACTTAAAGTAGTTTTACTTCCGAGCTATATTTAGAAAGAAAAACAAAGAATTCGCGGTATGTCTTCTCAACTGCTGTAAAAAGACGACCGGCTCCTTCCAGTAAAAGCCGCAAACGCTATAGTCTAAAGTCATAACCCGTATTGTGGACCTCAGAATGACATAGTCAACAACGGCTTCCATATTGACTCAGGAATGCAACATATTTATATTGCGCTGAAAGTGCATTGACCATAGTCAACTTTCCGAGGGAGAGTAGGGGCCCGGTCAGGATGGTGACGACCGATGATGATATTCGCCCGATGCAAGTCCCCCGGAAAGTCGAATAAGAAAAAAACAAAACAAAAAAACTAGAAGTTGTTCGATCCCGCTGCACACATTACGACGTTGTTGGTTGGTTTACGATGGCCAGTGTGGCCACGTTTATTTTCAAAACAAAACGACAACAAGTCAACAGTAATTTACATTACAAAACTCCCAAAATTAAAGCCCATACTTTAGTCCCCAGTCTCAAGAGCCGAATCTACCTGATCTTCAAAGCCGAATCCCCGAGAATCCTCTCGGCAGCCCTTTTCTAGACTCGTAGGGGCCTCCTTTTCCTCCAGAGACGGACCAATCACTTCAAATTTGCCCGTTGTCACGTGGTACACTCTTACCCAATGATCAGCGAGCTGTCAACGTGACCCCCCTTCGACACTTCAACGGTCAAACCCAAATTCTTTGTAGAGTCACTAGGTGCTTTTTTCTCCGTCTGACTGGCGCCACCAAGTTAAGTTATTGCGTCGATTAATAGCGAAGTCTCTAAACTAAGCGGCGAAATACGCCGGACACAAGCACACCCGCTTAAAAGCCACAAGTGTGGACAGAAGCCCAAGACAGGGGTGTTCCGGCGCCTCAAGCTGAAATTGAATCCGTTTGTTAACGACCGGGGTCCGACTGTTCTCCACCGAGCCCCGCGGCTGCTCGAAGCCCCACGCGCTTGAGAGAACAAGACGACTCCCGGTTCACGCTCTTACCCACTGCCGCGGGTCTGCGAGCAAACGCCCAAAAATGTGGACACAAACATAGGCAGATAAAAAACGATGCCGACGCAACTGTAGAAAGATAGACTTTTCTAAAACAAATCTTACTTATTTCTAACAAAATTCTTCGTTACTTAACAACCATAATATTTCTTCGATAATGATTCGATGTTAGAGATCACAATGGTGATGAACAGGCAGTTTAACGAGACTCGTGTGATATGTCCAAATTTTTTTTTGTCAAGGTGATATCAAGTTAAAAAAAAAGTTTTCAGATGAATTTATATTGACAAAACGTGTACTATCAATCCGAAATGTTTTTTTCTTATTTGTTTTGGTTTTATTTAGAAACCCAAATCACTATTTACAGCCTACAAACAAAATTTAACATAAAAACTAAAAATATAAAATATCTGCTTTGTGTGTCATATAATGGTCTGAAACGCTTTTAGAAGTTATAATTTGCAATATCAATACACAGTAGAAGGCACCCACTGTCAATCCGCTCTTAAAAAAATTGTTTTATTTTGTTTTGCGGATTTTACCGCGCAGAGGGCGAAGATAAGGGCACGGTGCCTACCAAGGCCTCTACCAACCTGCAGTTTAGAGGTTCAACATACACAATAGATACCGACTTCAAAATTAATTACATCGCTCAAGCAGCTAAAATGAAACAAATCAAATTAATAGAGAGACATAGTTAAACAGTTGAAATAAACGCCATGCTTTAATGTCAGCAATTGTAAGTCATAAAATATTACAATTATGTCAAAATTAAAAATATCCGTAGTCTTCAATAATAGAAACTGAATATTGAAAACATCAGCCATGCCTCCGTTGTGCAATATAACAATTAATCTTCCTCAAATCTGTTATAAAGATATAAACAAAGTGTATCAGAGTGCATAGATGTGTTTGTCCTGTTAAATGTTTGAGTCATCTTAAGTTTTAAGCTTTGGTGGACATGGTAGTCCCGATGGTATGCATACCTTTGCAACTCGAAAAGTGTACGCAGTTCGAATCTCTCTTAATAACGTACGGGGTCTGTTTTTTTTTTATCAATTGTGAGAGTTCGAAATAAAAAGCTTGAACTAACTTGACCATAATATAATTTAATAAAACACTTTATTAACATTTATAATTAACACTTCAATTTATTTTATTCATTCTTTTGCAAGAGATGCTTTTTTGCAGTTATTCCTTAGTCGAAGATCACAACTAATTTTGCAGTAGAATAAAAGGTTATATCTTGTAATTTATGGTTAATTTTGTATTTTATATGAAGTAATAAATTTTGAGTTTTATAAATACTTCTGGTAAATCGGGAAAAACAGAATGGAGTTCGTTCGCGTATGTGGTTCATAATACGTCCTCGGTAAGCCAAACCCCCCCCCCCCCCCCCCCCCCCCAAATTTTTTTTTTACATCTTACTCCAGCAGCGTGTTTTGTTATATTTATAATGCTGCGATTGTGTTTATTTATAGACTTCAAAATTGCATGCTTTGTCTTACTCGTATTTGAACTTAGTTAATTGTTCATAACCCATTTATGGCTTGAAAAAGTCAATATAAGTTTATCTTTATGCCCTCTTATGTCTCACCAACAACAAAAAAAAAACTTTTTTTTGTTATTGGTTTACTTGTAGATATGGGAAGCTTGATATTTATGTTTTATTATTTGTATACTCAAGGAATAGCACTGGCTCTAGAATAAAACCATGAGGAGTGACGTGTTGTAGTACTTTCATTTTGCAACAAAATTAATCATTGATGCATACATCGTGAGGCATTTTTAAGACAGGTTTCAATTCATGTTATTGTTATTCCTCGTACCTCCTATATTCTAAATTTACAGTAAAGTATACTGTACAATTTCCGGATGCTTTTCATAAATTCAAAGTAAAACAAGCGTTAAAAATTGCTTCTAAATATTTTTGACAATTTTATCTTTCATGTCGAGGAGTGCTAATTCCGAAAGCTTCTCAACCTGGACACGTTGTTGACCCTAAGTTATGTTTCTTCTTAAGGCTACCCTTTCAAAAATCGCATATATAACAAATTTGTGGTTCAATAGACGCACATGATTAAATCAGATTATATAACAGTAGATAGGAAGCTTATAAAAACGTATAGGAACAATATAAGATTATATAAGAAGTTATAAGAAACTTATCAGCTTCGTATAACTTCTTATATACCCTTTTATGGTTCTTATATGTCTGATCGCATGCGTTTATAAGACCAAGAAATTTATTGTAAATATTAGATTTTTCACTAAGGAAATTAGCGTGTTAGTAATAACATGGCAAAACATGTGAGAATATCATAGGTAAAATCTTCACATAAATACATATTGTGGCTTCTTCACCTCCAAGGTAAGCAGGTGTTACTTTCGTTATTTTTTTTTTCTAATTTATCGGGAAAATCATACGACTATACAATCCTGCGACTCGACCGGCTCGCCGCTGCGCGGCCGTTGTTGAAGTCTGACTATGTGAACACGAAGGAAACGAAACTACGCCACCTACATCCACACGAATTAAAGTCGGAGCGGTTCGGTTGTGACAATATGAACTGTTGCGTCGCCAAGTGCTGCAATAGTTTCGTGTTGTTTCTCGTAGGGACAAAGTTTTATAGTTTTTCAACTCGTCGTTGCTTTGTGGGGTAGCGACACCGATAGACCCGCGTCGTACGACGCGAGCAATTCGGTCTCCCGATTACATCTGCCACTGTATCGGCACATCTGACAAAAAAAAACAAGTAATTTGTTTTCCACTAGTCTTTTGTACACTACATTAATTTCTCAATATTCCAAATTACTAAAAACAGTGTCAGAAAAATTAACGGCAAAGGTAATGATATCGTCAAATGAAATTTACCTCGGAACACTTTTTAAACGTAAACGACGTCCTCTAGAACAAAAGGAGCGTGATTACTTTGGTTATTGAGAAAGTTTATTTGTTGTAATACTTCCGCAAAACAAGGTAAGAATAACTTCAAAGTTTATATGAAAACCCCCAGTAATTAAACCCCAAGAAACACCACCAAATCGGTTTTTCTCGGTTTTACACATGGTACCATTGTTGCCATTGCTTTGGAGACCGGTTTCAAAGTAATAGAGGTATCTCAGTCCCACCAAAAGTAAAAAATAAAAATAATCAACTACGTAAAATTATGGTTTATGAGCTTGAGCGCAGTTCGCGAGTTGTTCAATGTAAGCGAGTTTTTCTTTTGATATTAGTGCGAAAGGCGGTGGCATAATCTCATGAAAAATCTGCAAGCTCGTGTAACGCAAGTCATATATGTAAACTGACCAATGTGAAATTAACATGCACAATTAGATCTGTCTGTGTCTGTTTCACTCAGTCAATCTCGTGGTCGATCTATGTCTGTATGCGTGCACACGTACATGTTTCTCTTTTGTTTTGCATTTTGATATGGTTGCATATAGGCGCCACGTAATTGACGAAAGACGTAGAGGATAGAAACAAAGCTCACCTCTTTCTATTATCGCAGGAGAGCACCGCATTTGCTCGTGTTCAACCTGATACAAATTTTTATTTGCCTGATGTTTCTTTTTATTAAAAGGAAAATAACTTTACAAGGACAGCCTCAAATTACGGACACACAATGATAAAACCGAATTTCTGATCTTAGTTTTGCTGGAAATAATATTTGTGAGAAATGTGTTCTTGAGGAAAATCATCGCATTGAAATTGGTGGGGCTTAAGTCACGATATAAATCATCGAAGTATTTTGTCCACCCTCAACTCGATAGCGTTGTAGATTAAATTCAGGATATCAATGGCTCGTCGGTTTTGCGAAAAAGTGCTGCGGTTGCACCTCCAGAGGCCGGGAAGGTTTCTCGTTGGAAGCCAGCAAGCAGCATGAATAATAGAAGATGTTAAATATATTTCATCGGATATATGAGAAGCGGAGAACAGCTAGATCACCTTCTATAGGTCTTTCCCAGCCCTCCTGCAACGTCGCCTTCGATGTGTCGGCTGGTTGGGGGGCGCTTTGAAAATCGCGGTACGCACGACTTTCAAAGCACTCCCCATATCGTCGTTCACCCTGAGACTGTTTTTTTTTTTTTTTTGAAGAGCAGAAGTAACAGAAAAAACAGACAGGTCTCAAACTCAGCTACACGTTTATTTCAACAACTTCCTCTTATATAGTTCGTTCTCGTCGTCAACAACCAATCACATACGACTTGTCCTTTGCACCGTGACTTTACAGGTTCCACTCTGTCACAAAAGAAGCGGACACTCCCAACGTTTCCAAGTGAAAAGGTTCTAGCAGAAGATATGCCTCACAAAGTGTCCGCTTCTTTTGTGATAGAGTGGTACCTGTAAAGTCACGGTGCAAAGGACAAGTGCTATGTGATTGGTTGTTGACGACGAGAACAAACTATATAAGAGGAAGTTGTTGAAATAAACGTGTAGCTGATTTTTAGACCTGTCTGTTTTTTCTGTTACTTCTGCTCTTCAAAAAAAAAAAAAAACCCAGTCTCAGGGTAAACGACGAAATGGTTGACTTCCACCAGCTAGACTGTACTTTGACTCTTTTCACTCCCCATAGTTCCCGCAAGGACCGTATATGCAACTTATTTCTTCTACAAGATAATCTTGGGTTTTATGTGATCTTCGCTAGTGCTGGCATCATTTTTAGGTTTGTATTCTATCATTTTCAGTTTGTCTCGAAATGTACAGCCTAGATTCCACTTGATTTCTCGCGGGCATGTATACATAACCCCTTGAATTTTTTTTCCCCGAATACATGACTTCGTTCATAAAAAGTCGGGTCGTTTCGTCTGCAAGTTGCTTTGCATTATTCAGTATTGCTTTAAATTAGATAATATGAATATTTTATTTATTGTATTCTATTTACTGAATTTTATTAAAAAAACACAGTATTGTCATGAATCACGTGCTTTATTTTGAATTTCAGGACTACATGGAAAAGAATAAGAAACTTGAGCAAAAAATCAGGGAAATGGAGAACCGCCAGGTAAGAGTGTTTTATTATAAATTAGGTAATAGACAGACATACTGCCATATTTCGCAAGCATTATTTTTCGTTTTTTTTTTCTAGCTTTGTCTCCTTGTGTATCATGTTTGTTCACCATTTTAGACCTGCTGACTGTTCTCGGGGGGAAAAAAACATTATTTTTATTAGTATCGCTATCAATACTGTATCCGCCACTACCCCCGTAGCATTTCTTCAAGCAGCGCCATCCTGGCCCAGGTCACATGATTGGCGCGTATGCAAATTAACAGATTTTTGTTGAACTGCACAATTTCAAATACGCGCGGCATCTGTCTCGGTATGGGAGGTTTTGAGTTCTTTTTGATGTGTTAGTATGGTAGTTTTGAAAATTTTATGAACGAACTTATAGGCAGTTTTTATACCGTACACCAACGAACAAGAAAAATTGGCATATTTATCTAATATCCATCTGATGTAAGATGATTCAACGTGCGTTTTAAATGACGTGAACGAGACATAAAATAGCAATTAATTTGTTAATCGAAGACCTACACTGGTTTTTGTCTCCCTCATCTGTTACCACTCAAATCGTTTATATTTCACGCGGAAAGAATAAAAACACTGAAAATATACTAGGGTCAGACACTCATACACGAATAGACATACATACACGAATAGAAATGTGGCAAGATGAGATGGGACTTGGACAGCACAAACAAGGCTTTAAATGTAATAACTGTGTATATCTGTCCCTCGTATATTTTCAGTGTTTTTATTCTTTCCGTGTGATCTGTAGTCCTTCCAATGCCGACTGCTACGTGTACCAAGTTTATATTTATCATAAAATGGCACACGAATCGCAGGGGTGCAAATAGATTGTATTTTCTAGGTTTCCGTGAGGCCCTTGGTATAGTTTTGTACAAACCCCTCCACAATAAGCCAAAGCTTTTAGGGTGCAGTTCTAACAACACGAAGATACTTAAAAACCTATCTGTTGCAGTATCGCCAATGCGACATTTTCAGCTGCAAAAATTGCGAGTTACGTCAATGTGACATCAGGGGTTCCACAGATATCTTACTCTCCTGTGACAAGTTACGTTTCAGAAGAGTTCTTTCGCAGTAGTCTTAAGACAATACTATTGCATAACCCTATATGCAGTTAAACGTTAAGAAAAATTCCATAAAGCAATTAAAAAGACATTTACGTTGTTGCTCTAACGACGTTGAGTTCCAGTCGTTTCAAATCTCACTGTCACTTTCTACTGTAGCGTGAAGACGACCACTCTCGCTTGAAGATGCAAGACCACATTGCGGAACAGGAGAAATTGCTACAGGTAGGCGAGATAGTTTTGCAAGCGGCCTCGAACCTAGCAATTTGGGTTTTCGGGGTTCGTGCTTTAAACCCTTGTGTAGATTTCCTTAGGTTTATTGGTTGTTGGAAGGGTATTTTCTTCGGACTGGATTCAAAAAGAATGTTCGTGTTCCACGGAAAGTGATATTTTATACTTCTCATTCTTTAAACACGCAAGCGAAAAATAAAAAAAAGAAAGATTAAATTACAATAGCACAATGTCAGTTGTCGGTGTTATTGGTGAGCCAGTCTTTTTATTAATATGTTTATTCAAGCGCCAACTTCATCCTTGGTGACGAGAGCGGTGACTCCGAAAGTTATTCTCCTTCCTGGTTTCCTACTCCCGAGGCAGTATGATGCTACTGCATCACGTCCTGTGCGTTCCCCCAGAGACCACCAAAAAGTGTAACCCACCACGTGAACCACAATACCTATCACCAAAAGGAAATCTGGTACCATATATTTTCGGAGGAATATAATTTCCAATAAACGATTAACCCGAACATGCACAACCATTCCACAGAAGAACAAAACCAAAGCAGTTGAGATAAAAATAATTTGATGTATTGAAGCTTAGACCTTCGGGAAACTAGTCTGTCCCAAAGAGACCCACGATGTCTCCGGTTTGGTCATTATATTTAGTCAGCGCGGTACGACTGGCAGTCCGGCGTCTATAATCTGCGCTACGCAGGGCGATTTCACGAGGATGCACCGGTGCAATGCTCGTTCAGATTGAAACAGGCAGGAGTGAAGATTGAGCTGAGCAACCTGACTTCTGCTGAGCGAGCTTTGACTCCGGGTGCCTGAAACTAAGATGCGGTAACACACTTGGTTATGTAGTCGAACACTGGACAGCAAAGCCTCAGCAGTTTCTTTAAGCAAGACCGAAGACGTGTAAACAAAAAACTTGGAGAACGCTTAAGCTTCGCCTTTAAGAGTGGAACGCGACAGCGTTACTGGGCCCCCTTTGGCAAAGCCGTTTTGTGTAAACCCGCGCTCGTTCCCAAGACGTGCAAGCCTGTGTGTGTGGCATAGTCGGTAGCGTCACATGTCACGTGACGTCACATGTGAGCGTTGTAGGTTTTGAAATTCCCGCTCGACTTTATGTGGCGTGACGTTACACGGTGCTGCGACGTCTTGACAATATCGACCAATCAGGATGTTCCGGTCACATTGTCGCCGGATTTTCTGCGATACAAGCTTCTTAACGCTATCACGTTAATACGCCAGATTCTGTTTTCTAAACTAAAGGGGAAAAGACCCCACTAAGCTCTAGTGGGCCCCTGTGACAAATGACATATTTTTCTGTGAGCGAATGTATAATACAGTCTCTAAGACGCAAAGATGAAATATAGAAACGTCTCAGAATAAAGTACTGTTTATCTTCGCCGAGATGTAAGTTCGTTGAGCGCTATGACCTTTGCGAATTAGTTCAAACGGTTGAAATGCCAGTTAAGAACCTGTGGGTTAGTATTGCTGTGGTTTAGCAAAGAGGCACATATCCTAAAAGTTTCCTCATTCATAACGAATTATTTGTGAACATGTTGAAACTGATTATGTGAATGTAAGGAGATATATAGAAAATTTTTATTGCGTTTTTGATTACAGGATGTCCTGGAAGAAAATCTGAAGCTCCAAGAAAAACCTACCGGATTGGAAGACCAAGTGGTAAGCGTTTAGCGAACATAATCGTTGTGCGTTTGAATAAAATATACACAAATCTAATTTTATAACCTGTGCGTTGTTTAAATATCGGTTCAAATGAAAAGAATACACGAGTAATATTTTTGCGTAATGTAGTTCTGTTGTGTTTCAGTATGATGCGAATGCTTATCACCTGAAAATTTAAGACCACATCAACACATACAGCAAGTGGCTTCAGGTAAGAGGGCATAAAATGCAGGCACAAAACACAGCAACCTCGGACAAGAGGCTACATGGCAGCTTTGAAATTTTTCATTCGTATTTTATCTTGTGAAATTACTCTAGGGGAGGACGACTTATAAAACGAGTCATTTCATGCGGCGTAATAGTCGAGTCTTCATTCAATGGGGTCTTCTGCGTTTGGTCGCACATTTTCTAGTTCTTTTGACGCTTACAAGAGTGCAAGTTTTTCGGAAAATATGGCATGTCTGAAGTTTTACACTATCATGTGGTTCAAAAGTAAATTCTGCAAGGCAAAATTTACTGTCCTTCATAAATATAAAGAGGACTTCTATTATGTCATAATATATAGCATAACTATTTCACGTGTACCACGAAAAAGACTTGATTTAAATCTAACTTACGCGAATTACATGTATGCTAGAAAGGGCCATTTTTCCCCTAGCTTATTTTTGAAAACCATAGTTTCAGGAATCGAATTTGTGGCCCAGTTGGGTCTTGCGGTTTTTTTTTTCTAACTCACATTAACTAGATTATTTGGGATGCAAAACTGCAAGAATATTTTTATGGTGTAATCGCAAATTTTGGGAATCTTTTCTACTACTTTACTAAAAACGTTTTATATACAAAGCCAACTATTTTTTTTCCTATCCTTTACTTGTTTTGTGCCAAATGTATGTATGTGAAACCTCCAACTATATGAAAGACCCTTGCAACGAGGCAGTAGCAGGGTGCTGCATTCGCATTAGCCAGGCTCACATCGGTTGGAGTGATGAAATTATTGAGCCTTTCTTATACTCTCCGCAGAACAAAGTTGCGCCTTGTCAAAGTACACTGAGAGCCGCCGCGTAAACTGCCTAGGCGAAGATGTCCTATACATTGCTTTAAATTAACGAACCTCAGACCTTTGAAAGTTAATTAGTAGCATGAAGAGTGGGCGTATGGATATCGTCTAGGGTTTTTTTTTTCTTGATCAAAATTTATTTCAGGTACATTTCAGCATGCGTGGGCTTTAAGTAACAATTGTACGACGTAAATAAGTTTCAGTGCCATTAACTGATAGCGCAGTTAACTTGGTTTTCTCATTTTTCCTGTGTTATTTTTCTACAGGATATGGCGAATGAGGTGGCACAACGCTCAAGGGAACCAGCCATTCAACCAATGGGACATGATCTTTCGAATCGCATCAAAACGTACTTCAATTACGTAACTAAATCAGTCCGGGGCCTACCGGAGGAAGACTTTCGATGAGGGAACCATTTGAATTGACTAAATTGCTCAATTGCATGGCGGTAGACTTTCTTGCGTTTTTGTGTATTGCTCTGTGCGAGCGCTCATTGCACATGCTCTGGTGGAAATGTTGATCAAAGTCGACATTAATAGTGCTCCTACTGAAACGTCAAGACTTTTTTTCTAATGCGATGCGATATCTTCCTGCAGCCTCCTGGGAAAATTCAGTCCTGTTTCACAAAACGCATGCGCGTAAAAATGGTAAAAAGATAAATTGAAAAAAGAAATTCAAGCCTCCTGAAGGGCCCTTGACCCCGGGGCTCTCATCTTTATGCCCATTGAGTGCGCCAGTAGAAAAAACTTGTTAAAGAAAAAATAACAAAAAAAAAAAAACACCAGTAGAGTAGATTGTTGGGCTAGTTGCCCAACTATCTACTCTACTGGTGTAAATTGTTGAAACCAAAAAAACACCACTTCGTTTTTTTGTTAACCTACTCGGCGAAACGTGCAAGTAGCGCCAGTGGGACGGTTCAAAAATTTGCTCAATCTGCATGAGGTCTGGGGCAGCCGTGGTGCAATAAACACAAGGAGCTCGCGCTTGTGCCCGCGGTTGTGCATGGATTTTATAGCTTCCAACTGAGGGCATACTTTCGTGAGGGGTCTATGATTGAAATTGTATACGCTTGCTGGAAGTTCGCCAGTGGTCTTCGCCACGGCTCGAAAGAAAAACAAGAGAACTGAAGAGCTTGCTGAACGGAAGAGGAGGTCCACTGTGGCTCAGCGTGTATTGTTTGGCAAAGGACAAAGAAGCAAAATGGGCACGTTTTGCTACGGCCCAAGGTCGAGTGAGGGAATGAAATTGGTTTCAATTTAATCAGGGGAATATGGCCATCATATTAGAAAGATTTAAATTATATCGTATTTTGACGTAGTCTTTAACGAATCACTGCAGAAACCCGGCCTCAGTTTTTCTAATTTGCACTTGTCATTCAAGCCGTGCGAGAGATTTGGGTGCAGGGCTGAATACCAGGACCTTAATTCAATTTACTTTATTCAGTTTTGAATTTGCTTGACTACGAGTTCATTTGACCTACTCTCAAAGTTTAGGATCCGCAAGCATAGAAAAATAATAAATTGTGAAAAAATACGAAGGAAGGCCGATTCGGTTCAGCTATTACTCCTACAGAGTGTCACTGTCTCACAGCCAGCTATTGCAGAATGCCAACATTGAATGCTTCGAAGTTGGACGTCAAAGGATTTAACAAACTTTTTTATTCTTAATTGTTGATGGCGACGTAAAATATAAAGCGATAAATGCAGTTTCTTTATTTTTCTTCAGGATAGACGCACTTTTTGTAAATGAAAAAGAAAAAATACCTTACAACTCTTGTTTCGCCAATTATTTTGTTGTCCGCGAACTGTTCGAGATGGCGATTCCTTGTCAGTTGACGGTGCTACCAGTGCGTTCTTGTCTTTGTTCTTATCGTAAATTGATTAAAAATGGTATTTCCGGTCTGTTGTGCTTTTTTATGATGATGTTGAGGTTTTATTTGATTATCTGAGGTCCTGAATTTGTTTCCTCGTGTTCTTTCATTGCGAGACTGATCTCCCTGCACCCTGATGTCAACAGAAATATTTTGTCTGCATCGCAGTGCTGGAAGGCGATTTCAAGATTTGTTAACTTGTAAGATTGCACTTTTTTGTGCGTGTCGCCTAAGAAAATAACAAGCCGTATTGGCGCTTAACTGGGCAAATTTAGCTTTTCAGAATTGGTAAGGAAAGTTTTAGAATCGTTAACAAAAACAGGAGCAAAAGCATACGGGTTGGGACTACGAGCAGAAATTTGCAGGCCCACGAACAATTTTTAAATGTTGAGCGCAAGAAGACTCCAATTGTATTTAACACCGGAATTGTCTTGAAAAAATAAAATCTACAAGGAGCTCATTTTTGATTCTTAAACCATTTCTCCTTTACGAATACCATACTTGCTCCGCAAAAGAAAAAAAAAAAGTATATGCCTTTATTTCATAAGAAAATATGTTGCGTATGCGGTTTTTATTACAGATGCACTAATCAAGTTTATTATTCGCCCGAAAAAGGACCTAATGACGTCAGAAGTCGGTGAAATCAGAAAACCGAGCTCTGATTGGCTCCGATTGAAATATAGTAATTACACTTCAATGGGTAGACATATATGCTATAGCATATATTTCTACCCATTATTCTTCCAACCGGAGTCAATCGGAGCACTAACGTCACCGCAACCCCTGCGAAAGAAGCAGACGATCTTGCGTTCCGTATAGACCTTTTTCGCAAGGGCGCCGCCATCTTGAATTATCGTCACTTCCAGTATGGGCGAAAACATTGTTTTGCCGTCGCCACGCCAATAGAAGGCATTTAGGACATAAACGTAACCGTCACACATTCTCGTTTTGCGTCCCCTCTATTTTTTTACTATTTTCAGGTTGAAACGTATTGATATTTTTTCGTCGCCCATACCGGATATGCCTACTTGGCGGTCGAGGGCGAGAGTAAGCGGAAAACTTCTATACCGCCTAGGAGGCGAGCCCTCTCCTCCCTAAGACGGCATCGCTAGTGGCTTCACGCAGCGCCGTCTACCCTGCATCAGCGTCGTCAACAGTGCGTCGTGCAGCGTCCCGCAACAAGCGCGACGCCAGCGCACAGCGACGCTGCAGTGTAGCGACGCCAAGACGGACGCGCTGTGATCGTCTGCTGCGGGCGCTGGTCGTCTGCTGCAGGTGTCTCCGCATCGTTCCGCCCACTTTCCCCCTCGACGGCTCGACGCATGCGCACTGGCGACACAATCAACGTGGGAGACGTCCGCCATCAAAGTGCAAACGCGGTCTACATACGTTTGTTGTTGCTCCCTTCCATTCTAAATCTATTGGCGTCCTACGCAACTCTACAGGAGTCTACGCTCCGCCGATGCGGCGAAGACGTGAATTTCTGAAACCGGGAGCTCAAGTCTGTCCGAATGTGCAGCAGACACTTTCGCGGCACTGGTGACGGAGATGAGAAAGAGAGGGACGAGGGAATAAATGCGCACCGTTGGGCGACGCAAATAAGAGTAGCCTAATTTGTCAAACCATATACTTGCACAAGTTTCTCAATTCACGTTTTTTTTCGTTGAAATACAATGCACACACTATATGCGGGCGAGACGGATAAATGAATTGATGAGCGCTCGCCGGAATGGGCAAGATACTTCTAAAAATGTATCAAACAATATATACGAGATACTTTGACAAAAACGTATCTAATTACTAACCAAATTATAATGTTTTGATAAGTATTTAAACTCAATTTACAAATACAAGGGGGGTATTTGATCGCTTTCGATTTCTTTAGCAAACTGACTTTTTTCCGATAGTCTGATACCTTAAACGTAAATTTAGACACTGTAAAAATGTGGACCGTGCCCCAATAAAGACTGCAGTCTATAAATGCCAAGCATAAAGCGCTTAAAAGGATATTTCAGCTCTGAAAATAAATCTGGTTTGCCATAAAAGGGCGCGTACAAAAAGAGGAAACACAATGTATTTAGTACGACTTGAATCTCAAAAGCTCAGTTTTCAAATAACATTACCTTAATGAAACATGTAAAAAATGTATTTGGTCAACCAAAAAGCCAGTAATTGCATCCGCTCCATTCGCTTCATGTTCTACTCTTTCCTTTTTCTTCCGTGTTTATGATAAGCAAAGCGTAGCAAGTTTTACGATCTTGGAATATGACTCCCATACGAAGAGAACGCAATATATTATTTGATTCTGAAGAAAAGTGCAAGCAAATTGTATACGGGCAATATTTCAGGTACAAGTATATGAAACGCTCAATCTTTAGATTTTGTTTAATACATCAGATAAATACATTAGCCAATATTTTATTAAATACAAAATACTCAAAGTATTTTTAATGGGTATTTAAAATTAGGTCTGGGCGTCGATTAATGCTTTTAACCCGATTAATCGCCACCCCTCAGTCGATTAATTAATCGGTTGCGTTCATTTTTATAAATAATATATTAAGAAGAATGGGGGCAACAACTTGTCTTGCCTTTGAAGACTTATTTTACTCTCTGTTACATGGCGCAAAGGACATTTAGGATTGAGGATACATATATAGTTCTACGATTCAAAGGCTCACATATTTTTGCTCCAGCTCTGACGACAAAGAAGTTTGTCCAGATTCTCCGACAGGAAGACAAGAAGTCAGGGCTCGGGCGATGCTTTCTTGTTTTTTCAGAGAAGGGGGCCTCGATAAGAAGGCGTTGATTGTTTTCTGCGTTTTGGCGGATGGTCCTTACTACAGCGGCGTACATGGGTGCTTCGCTCGTAGGTGATACTGAAGCGAATTTACGCTTCCACTGTACGAAAACTGCGTTTTGAAGATGATGCAGTGGACTTCTTTCGAGTTGAAAAACTTCACCGCTGGAGTTTACGTTAAGCCCAAACTTTCCAGCGTGAACTCTTCTATTTTTACGGGCCGAATACTGGAACAAGTAACCATGGCGTCAATGGCGTTGTTAGCTTCCCAGCTTGTTTTTCTTCTTGTTTGTCTTGCCTGGGCAGGATGTGTAATAGATCATCAACACGTGAAGTTTCGCGGTGGCGCGGGGATCAATGGACCTCTTGGCGAATATGTGCTGCCACCTAGACACGCGACTGGGGTCGAGGCTAAGTGGCGAGAAAACAACGCGCGCGCGAGGCCTCTCCCACCCGTTGCACTCCCAAAACGTCAGCTACATCCTGTTCACCCATTGAGACGCTGTGACCTAGATACGGCTCCCCCAAACTCGCCTTTGTCCCCATCGTGCGTAATCTTCCGCCCCGAAGTCCACACAACGAAACCATCTTCCCTCTCTGCTCGGCCAGAAGGAAGAGAGAGAGGGTACTGGAACCAGTTACTCTCGAACCGATGTTTCTGCAAAAGGTCCATTGCGGGCCCGGCTTGTTCGTCTGGCCTCGGCAAAACTGTAATGTATATTCTCGAACACGTGACGCTTCGCGAGCGAGAGAATTGAACCTTGCTCACAGCA